GAATATAGTATTAACGAACACAGGAAATCTGGTATGTGTTAAGAATTACTCTTATCTTTTTGACAGCCTTTATCATTAGAGGAAACTTCAACTAAACGAGGAGATGCTTGCTGGACTGATAATCTCAATCCACTGCAAAAGAAACTGGTGTAAGCTAAACAAATATATATCATTGGCTGTATTGCTGAGTAATTTCATAGTTCATATTTATAGAGCCTACTTAGAAATAAACTAGTAGTTCAAAGGGATTGTTCACCTTACGTCACCTTTTTAAATCATTTATTGGGCATTGTTGCCATTGTTATTGACAGCCCCCTACTTGCCCTTGAAAAAATAATGACCTTCTTGAAAAATTGCATTCACAATGTAGGGGGTCCAAGATTGTAATCCAGCAAACAATGAAGAAACAACAATAGTTTTTCAAACCAGGATGCTGCATACCTTGGTGACGAATGTGCATGTGGTGGTGTTCCCATAAACCTACCTCCCAGGGGGTAGAGGTCAGAGTTTTCAAAGATATTATCTAAGATATCATGATGAGTTGCTATGATGTTTCTTCTAAATGGAATCTACTGCTGTCACAGTGTTGTTGTAATGGATAAAATATGTTTGAACTAACAGATAAGGTGTAAATCAAGTGGCCAGCTTTGTTCTGGATGCCATTGAAATTCTCGAATGCTGTTAGAGCTGCACGTGGAGAATAATCCATAACACTCCTGACTTGTTCTTTGTAGATGGTGCAAAAACTTTCAGGAATTCAGCAATTAGCTACTTGTCACAGAATTCCCAGCCTCTGACCAATTGTAATCTCCAGAATGTCGTTAGTAGGTGATTCAGTAGGTGGTATTAATTGAATGTCATGGTAATTAGGCTCTCTTCTGTTGGAAATAGCCATTTCCTACTTTATACGTGACATCAGTGTTACTTACCACTTAATCAGCCTAAATCTGAATCTTGTCTGGATCTCAATCGACATGAGTAACAGAAACTAATTATTTTTGGACAATCTGAACCCAGTTCCCAATGTGAAGGCCATAAAGTGGAATGTCTGAACTTTCCATTGCCCTGCTTTGGATTCTGGGGCAACCCAAATGAAAACAAAGGGAGTCATTGACAAAGGAAGTACTCATTTTTTTGAGACAGGAATTGAATTTAACTGTTAATTAGTGAGGGATGCAAATCACTATGCCATTTACCACAACTGTGGCATACAGGACATCAAAGAGCAGAAAAACAAAACCTCACAGAGAGTGGTTAGTGTGTAGAATGAACTACCAGGGGAAGTGGTAAATGCAAATACAGTTACAATGTTTAAAAGACATTTGGATACGTACATGAATAGGAAAGTTTTGGGGGGATATGAGCCAAATGCAGGCAGGTGGGACTAGTTTAGTTTGGGAACATGGTTGGTGTGGACTTGTTGGACCGAAGGGTCTGTCTCCATGCTGTATGGATTTATGACTCAATGACTTGGAAATATCATGCAGTGATAGCCGGTGCTTCAGCTTTGTCTTTTACATTGATATGCTAGATTATCCCAGAGGTGAAGATAGGGATATTTGTGGAGCTTCGTCCTCCTATTAGTTGATTAATTGTCCAAAATCTTTCACAATGGGATATGGCAGGACTACAGGGTTTAGCTCTGTACTATTATTTTTGGAATCACTTAACTGTCTTTTATAGCTGTATGAGGCAGTAAAGCCAAGCAAAGCCTCTTGAATCATTGCTTCTCACTTAGGTCTACAAGTTAACTCTGAGCCTGTACAGCCTGTTTTCTGAGTATAGGTTCTTACCATAAGTTCCACATTTTGGTGTCTTCTGAGAGGTGCTACATCTTGAAACTTCCAAGGTCTTTTGATCTTCCTGAGATTCTCCATCAAGACGTGAATGAAAGAAGGATATAAGGACAAGTGTAGGCCTTTCAACATACTGAGCCCGCTCCCCTATTCTCAATCCTGGCTGATCATTTCATTGATGTCATTTTCCTGGACCTCCTCCATATTTCTACCTATCAATTTATGTCTTGAACATGCTCAACGATTGAGCTTCTAAAGCTCTCTGGGGTCAAGAATTCCATGGAGTCTTCACGTTTTGAGTGAAGGAATTCCTTCTCATCTCAGTCTTAATGGCCTATCCCTTGTCCTGAAATTTTATCCCCTGGTTTTAGATTCAGCAGCTGGGGAAATATCTTATCAATATCTATCCTGTCATGTTATGCAAGAATTTCATAAATTTCAATGAGGCCACTGCTCATTCTTTGAAACTCAAGGGAATATAGGCGCAGTCTTCTCATTCTCTCCTCAAAAAACAATCCTGCATTGTTCTCACAACTTCTGTGCCTAGCTGGTTCAGGGTCATCAATAATTTTGAAAATATTACAATAGGACCCACACTGAAATCATTGATGTAGAAAGGGAACAGTTTGGCTTTAGCACTGATCCTTGCAGTACTCCACTAGTAACAGTTGCCATTCCAAGAGTGATCTGTTTATTCCTACTCTCTGCTTTCTGCCTTTAACCAATTCTTAATCCATTGTAATATATCTGCCACAATTCCATGTGCTCTAATTTTATTTACCAACCTCATGTGTGGGACCTAATCAAATTCTTTTGAAAATTCAAATAAACCACATGTACTGGTTCTTCATTTTCAATGCTACATATAATATCCTCAAAATCCCCAACCTCAAACTCCAACAACGTTATTCAATACGATTTCCCTTTCATAATTTCATGTTGGCCATGTCCAGTTGTAACATTCTTTTCTAAATGTCCTGTATCACAACGTTTAAAATAGATCTGATATTTTTCTGACTGCCAACATTAAACTAACTGCTCTACTGTTCACCATTTTATCTCAGGCTTCCTCCTTAAATGGTGAAGTTATAGTTTGCAGGAAACTTTTCAGTATCTATAGAATTTTCAAAGATAACCATCAATGTATCGACAATCTCTTTAGCCACTGACAATGTGGGATAAAGCTCAAGTGGTCCAGTGATTTTAATAAACTTCATTCCAACTAGTTTCAAGTACTGTCTGTTTACTGATACAAATTGATTCCTCAGTCTCTCAAGTTCCTTGGGTGCCTAACATTACCAGGACAATTTGTATATCTTCAACTTGAAAGCGGATGCAAGGTAGCAGTTTAGTTTCTTCAGCATTTCCCAGTTCTATACTATAACTTCTCGGCCCCTACCCCTAATGGACCCATATATTTTCTTGCTAATCCTTTCTTTTTAAGAAAGCTAAATAAACTTTTATAGTCTACACTTATGTTCCTCACTAGTTTATGTGCACAATTTCTTTCCCTTTCTTAATCAGTTTCTTGGTCTTCCTTTGCTGGGTTCTCAATTGCTTCCAACTCTTAAGCTTATCATTTTTTTCTGACATCCTTTTAAGTCATTTCCTTGACCTATTCTTCTCACCTTTTAATTTATTTCATTAAACCCAGCTAATTTAACCTTCCCTTTGGGTACTTGCGCCTTAGGGGAATATATATCTTCTGTGTAGTATTTCTTGAAATACTATTATCTGTCCACCACCAAATCTTTTATTTTATTTTCCTTATCCAGCATAGCTAGTTTGCTCTTCATACCTCCATAATTTTCTTTACTTAGGTTTAAGTCCCTTGTTTCAAAATGAACTATATTATATCGAAAGTTAATGCAAAATTCTATCATATTATGGTGGCTATTGCCTTCAATCAATAATTACATGTATAATGATTAGAGTTATGGTTCTGCGGTAAACAAAGAGGGCTTGACTGGATAGATGCTGATAGTTTGTTGTTTTAGTTCTGTTAGAACTAAACTCATTATCTCAGGAAAGGGTGTTGAACATTTAGGAGAAATTTCTTCTGTCAATGGTTTGTAAATTCTTGACATTAGCAGGTTGTGATTTCTTAGTCATTATGTATATTCAAGATTTAAGGTGATGAATGTTGGGGATTAATGGGATTAGAGGTATGGGGAATATTGCAGATAGGTGTAGCCAAGGTACAAGATAAGTTATGATTTCATTGAACTGATGGAGACAGTTTGAACCTATTGCTGGAATGACTGTATGGCCCACTCCAGCTCTTATTTCTTATATGCGTAAGAATAAATTGCATGGAAGAAACTTTGTGGACGATGGCATTAATCTAATATCTAATTCAATGGCAGTACTGAAGATGCTTCCCTTATATGCAACATTGGACCTCTGGAATGGAGGAACATGTTCAGTACTTGAAACATAGTAGCAAGATCAAAGGAAGTTCAAGTTCACTCATTTGTTGTTTTTATACTGGAGCTGTTCTAGTTTGAATGTAGTGAAGTAGCTTGTAACATCATTTACGACAATAATTTGCATTTGTATAGTACCTTTAATGTTGTAAAACATCCCAAGACTTTAAAGAAGCACAATAAAAATTCAATACTGAACCATTTACGGAGGCATTATTAGGATAGATAATCAAAAGCTTGGTCAAAGATGTAGAGCAGATTTTAAGGAGCATCTTAAAAGAAGGGAAAGAGGTGGAATAGTTTAGGGAGGGCAAGTCAAAAATTAGGGCCTGGACAGCTGAAAGCATAGTCACTACAGCTGCAGCAAAGAAAACTCAGTGATGCACAAGAGGCCAGACTTAGAGTGTAAAGGGATGTGGCAGATTCTCAAAAGACTGTAGATACTTGGTTAACTGCTTGCAATTGATAAATTTTTGGTAAGAACGTTAATGGGAGATTTTGACTAAAAAAAAAGTATATGCTGTTGAGGTGTCTTATTATCTTTGATGGAATGGAAAATGGGAGAAAGCCCAATGTGATCAGCCATTGCCTCCTGTTCATACATTCTGATTTACGGTGCTAAATCTGTCTTAGTCATCCTGGCATCAAATTCCGAAACTGAAAATCGAAAACTAAAGTGCTGTTTGTTGATATAAAAATGGCTGCTGTGAAGTAAATGAGCAGTTCACTTTGTTTTTAGATACTTGTCTAATTTGTTTTTTTTAATACAATTTCTCAGTGGCTGCAGTCTTGCCATGTGTGCGGGTTTACTGTACGGCTCCAGCTTTGTACCAGTCCTCTACATTAAGAACCATGCTGAGAGAAATGAGACCGAGTTTTTTGGTGCAAGTCAGTTTGGTAAGAAAGTACTGCAAGCAGGCTGATGAGAAAAAGAAACTATATAATTGTTTTCCTTTTTGCCATTCCAAACCATGAGAGGTATAATAGCTTTTGAGTTATGTAGTTTATTGAAAATGTAGCAAAGAAATCACTTCTCAAAGTACTTGCAGATCTGAACATTTAAAAAATGTCAAGGCAGATTATGACAAATGTCCAAATAAGTTAATGTGATGATCAGTTTAAAGTTTGTTGCTGTGACAATACATTTTATAATACTGTATGGCTGTCTCCTGGTTTAAAGTATAGCATAGATTCTTTTCCTCAACGTTTTGTCAATGAGTCTGCTATGAGTCTACACATTTGGTTATCTACTCTGCGATGTGTGGATTAACAAAACCGGTCTAACAATGAACCTTAAACTTAAGAAAATGTGGTATCTCTTGCATTTTGCTCTAGTCAATTTAAAAGATGGAGAGTAGACTATGTAAACATTTGCTTCAATTACAGTACACATGTATTTTCAGTGAAATGAAGAAAAGCACTAAGATTGTCAAGGTATGAATTCAAACACCAGTAAAACATTCCATTGGAACGTTGAGCCATGACAAATGGAAATATCTGTCTTTATTTTTATTATACATATAAAAACAGCCAGGATGGTAATCAAAACTTTCATTTTTCAAGCTATTTTAAAAGGGAAGACGGGACAGGGTCGGGTTTTCTGTAGGGTGTAGAGCATTGGGAGAAATTGGGCTTGATGGCACTTTTTTGACACATTCCCTGATAGGAGGAGAATCCTGCCAGTCAATACGAACCATTTCAACTCCTCCTCCCATTCCGCAGACAACATGTCCATCCTGGGCCTCCTGCAGTGCCACAACGATGCTACCCAAAGGTTGCAGGAACAGCAATTCATATTCCGCTTGGGAACCCTGCAGCCCAATGGTATCAATGTGGACTTCACAAGCTTCAAAATCTCCCCTCCCCCTACCGCATCCCAAAACCAGCCCAGCTCGTCCCCGCCTCCCTAACCTGTCCTTCCTCCCACCTATCCCCTCCTCCCACCTCAAGCCCCACCCCCATCTCCTACCTACTAACCTCATCCCACCCCCTTGACCTGTCTGTCCTCCCTGGACTGACCTATCTCCTCCCTACCTCCCCACCTACACACAACTTTACTGGCTCCATCCCCGCCTCTTTGACCTGTCTGTCTCCTCTCCACCTATCTTCTTCTTTATCCATCTTCTATCCACCTCCCCCCTCTCTCTATTTATTTCAGAATCCCCTTCCCCTCCCCCATTTCAGAAGAAGGGTCTCAACCCGAAACGTCAGCCTTCCTGCTCCTCTGATGCTGCTTGGCCTGCTGTGTCCATCCAGCTCTACACCTTGTTATCTCAGTCAATACTTATGTGCCTTTTTTAAATTCACTTGTGGGATGTGGGCATTGTTGGTTGGCCAGAATTTATTGCGCATCCCTAGCTGCCCCCGAGAAAGTGGTAGTGAGCTGCCTTCTCGAACCACTGCAGTCCATGTATGGTAGGTAGCTTGTTGGAGATTGTTCTGGCAGGCTTTCTCACTGGTAGGGAATGAGGGGATGAGGAATTAAATCTCCCACATTCAATGCAAAAATAAAAACAAAATCCTGGCCATGTTTTTTGAGTTTCAAAGGAATGGAGAATAATCACCTTTGTGTGGTTTCCAGTGTTCTGTTTGCTATTTCTCTGTACCTGAAGGAATCTTTGGAACTTCACTAATTCAGAAATGTTTTAGTATTTATCAATGTTCTGGAAGGGTGTGGGTAATTAACCTGTCTACTTGGGAAGCTGAAGGAGTGTTGAAAATAAGACATACTTAAGTTAAGAATGAAGATCACCACTGTCCTGAATACAAGAAACTTCAGTTGGCACAAAAACAATTTGATGGAAAATCTCAGCTGGTCTGGCAGCATCCGTGGAGAGAAATCAGGGTTAATGTTTTGGGTCCAGTGACCCTTCTTCAGAACTTCAGTTGCCGTTGGATTGAATGTTATTCTGGAAGACAGATAATCCTCTCTTCCATCTACCTCTACTGAATTTTCTGGGTGCAGCAGCATAAGCAGAATCGATGCTGAAGAAACAGAACCCCTTTAATAGTCTGTCCAATTGTTGACAAAAAAAAAATCAGGCAATATCCCTTCAGGAGGTGTAGCTCTGCTCATCAGTCTCCTTGTATTCACTGCACTCAGCCAATTCCAAGCACTCATATTCATCAAGAGAAAGCTGTACTCCACTGCATTCATTAAATCCACTACCTGGAGCTTTCTGTCAACTGTTCAAACGTGCCCTATCAGACTGAAAAGGGATTGGTTAGCTTAGATGGCTAGACAGCTGATCTGCAACGTGGAATAAAGCCAAAAGCACAGAGACTAAAAACTCTTCTTGCTCTCTCCCATAATTTCTTTCTCAATCCCAGAAGTCAATGTCAGTGATAAAGGAACTTGGAAAAGTCAATTCCTGAAAAATCAAGGTTATCTGTTGGTTTTGCCACGCCTGAGGAATTAGGACAATAGCTAAACAGCTGCGAGTTGGGTTTCACTCTAGCAACTCTCAGATTCTAAACACTTTAATCTGTAATCACCTTTACCTTCCTGTCTGTATAGACACCCTGCTTCCTTCACTTTTTAAGACCATAAGACATAGGAGCAGAAATTAGGTCATTCGGCCCATCGAGTCTGCTCCACCATTCAATCATGGCTGATAAGTTCCTCAACCCCATTCTCCTGCTTTATCCCCATAACCCTTTAAGTTTATTACCTGTGTTGTGTGCATATATTGAGTACCACTTTTTTTTTCTTTTGTTTAATCACTCAAGAAAATCTCGGAATAGGCAGTCTTTCATTCTTGATTTGGTTAACAGTTTATTTACTAAAAACAAATTAAATTATTTACTCCCACCAACCAAAAGAGGGTTAAAAATGAATGGAGCTGATCACATATTACCATAATCAGAAAGTCAAAGTCAGAGAGGGCTGCAGCACAGAAAAAGGCACTTCATCCTATTCAGTCTGCACCGGTCAGAAACAACCACCCAACTACTCTAATTCCATTTTCCAGCACTTGACCCCATTGCCGTTGTGTGCCTTGTCAGTAATAGTAACCTATATATCTTATAATTGGTAGATAGGATGTAAATTTCCATGAAGAGACCAAACAATCTGCCAATAATACATTTCAAGGACAGTTGATGGGGCTCAAAGGGAGTTGGAATATCTGTTGGAGTACCCATCGTGTGTCATTATTTAGGTACTCACCTGTAACACTGTCTTCTCTTCTATTTTAGACATGGATTATGTTTTTGCATACTGCAGTGGGATTATTCTAACCAGTACAATCTATTTTCTCATATACTGTGCAGTGAAGAAAAACAAACCAAGTGTTTATTCAACAGCAATATTACCTGGTAAGCTACAGTAATTAAAAGTCACAGTGTCTAAGTAATGTTGCAAGCATGGTAGCTCTTAGCTAAATGAGTAGTATCAACAAAATGGATTTAATGGTCTTCATTATTGATTATAATGTTTCCCGTACAAGGCACTTCTACTGGGCCAGCAGTAAATCCCAACTAACTGTAATAAATATAACATTGATTCTCCATTTTCAGTTTCATGATGCAGGATTTTGGTTTAACACCTTATTATTGAGCAATTACCTGAAAGCAATTTGCTCCATGATGACATCTGTAGGGATTTTTGATAAAGCATGAATTTTTCAGTTAGCTCCTGCTACTTTTTTTGAGTTGGGTAATGTGTTGAAGCAATGAGAAAAAATTTAGAGGACACCATTCAAGAGCCTCAGCAAGACCAGACACTGGAGAATTTTTTTTTTAGTGTATAGGTTATGAGGATCAGATAACGAACAAAAATATGCCAGTTTACTCTTCCAGAAATATACTCCTTCAATTATTCAGTCTTGAAGAGTCTGCATTGACTGAGGTGTCAAAATTTTGCACAGTGCATTCTCATTTATATGTGAGAAACAAATAAATGAAGTTGACTAATGAAGGAATAAGAATAATTGTTATTGTAGAATAGCTTAATTACTTTTCAGAGAATGTGGAAGAAATTGTACAATTTTCCTTCAGGTGACAAAATGAGTAAGGTGAAACTGATAATGAGTTAAATTGCAGTAGTCTGTAATGACATACTAAGCATCATTCCATGTTTTTGCATTCTTTTTTGACAACCTGTATTTGAAATTTGCTCATGAAAGACTTTTGAGATGGTATGTTTGCATCGCATTTTAAACCAATTTGCAAAGGCTCAAGAAGTTCAGAGCCTGTGAACATTGAAAATGTGCATTCACACCAAGTAGAAATTTTGTGGAAAGTTGCAGGCCACATTCTATTTCAAACTTATGCAATTAGGGTCAACTTTCTCATGACAGAGCCATCAAACTAGGATGCTCCCTATTAATTTTGAGCATAACAGGAAATAGTGACTGACAATTTACAGCTTGAATATTACTGGAAAAAAAAAGAGACACAGTGTGAAAAGTTCTGAAAATATATATCTTTCCTTCGCAATATCAGGAAATATTCCAAGAAATCTGCACTCCAAAAATGGGAGGAAAGAGGTACCTGGTAGCAGCTACTGACAAATTACTGAAGAAACAAGGAGACATAGTACACAGAGTTAGGGAACCATGAGGCATGTAGTCAATCAGCTGACCATGATTTTTAAAAAAAAATTAATTCATAGAATTAGGGTGTTACTGGCTCAACCAGCATTTATTTCCCACCCTGAATTAGACTGAGAAGGTAGTATTTACGGTGGTCCATGTGGTATAGGTGTACATGCAATGCTATTGGGAAGGGAATTCCAGGATATTGACCCAGTGGCACTGAAAGCAATGTGCTATATTTTCAAGCTAGGACGGTGAGTGCTTGAGGAATTAATTGGCTTACTCAGAAGAAACATGGTCTTGTCAATTTCAGAGCTGGTCAGGTTAGAAGCAGACATTTGAGCTCCCTAGTAAGGATAGTGTGGCGATTTCTTTTTGTATATTTTGTTCTCAAGGGAGTTTCTGCAGTTATTGAATCAAGGTGAGATTTAATCAAGCTGGAAGTTCACTTACTGTAAAATAAAACAATTTAAAGTTTGTTTCTGCTCTCTCTCTTCCATTCCCTCTTAAGAAGGATTCAAGAAACACATGTGAAGGCACCTGAGGTAGCACTAGAGTTAGAGTCAAAGATGTGGGGTGGAATCCGATAGTAGTCTGGGGGATGTGGTCTAGGGTGAGATTTGTGGCAGAATTGGACAAGAGTCCGGTGAGGTCTGTCTTGATGTCGGGAGCATCTCATTCCATCTTTTATGCTTTTGTTGAATAAAGAGTTCAGTTTTTTGCCAGGCAGTGGGAGTTGCCAATTGAGGGGGATTATAACTTGTTAAATGTCTTATTAATGATACATTTAATCTCATTAATATTCAAGTTCTTATCTGACCAAATGAACCAACAGTCTAGATGTTGAGAAAATTCGACATGAAAATCAGAGCAGGCACCTACCGATTTCAGGGCTCGATGGGCATTGGTTACATGTGCCCACACTTCTACAGACGTTGGCATTCATTATGTGCCAGTATCTAAGAACTCTCATGGCAATTATCTGATTCACTTCCAGTACCCTTCTGAATTTCAATGCTGATTTGTGGGCTGCACTGGCAACTATCATTGCAATGCTGCAGCAAGGTCACTGTCCTCCCAATGGCATGAACCTAGCTCATGGACTGAACCAGACTGTATCTTTGCTTGCAGTCATACACCTCATTCTGAGCCCACCTGGCTACTCACAGCATCCCTGCCTTGCGTTGCTATGCCTGTCTTTGTGTATTTTACCCCATCACCCAGAGATACCAGGCTCATGTTACTTCTGTCTTACTTTTGTCCCATATTTTTCCCAATGAGATATGTTCACCATATGACTGAATTCCTTTGCCTTAATAAAACCAGATCCTGTGTGTTAACATATATAGTTTCTAGCAAGTGGAAATGCATCACACTGATCTCAACTGATAGACATAAACAAATTTCTGGTGTAATTCCCAGCACAGTCATATTATTTAGTAAATTTGAATCAAAAGCAGAATCATGTCTAATGTTAGACATGGAGTTCTGAGACCTGAAAACATCGGCTGGAAGACTATGACCGCCATGCTTTCTGCTGCAAATTGTCAATGGATTGTGTTGCTTGATACAGTCCACTAGTTGTTGGGATGCATGGCCAACATGCCTGACAAGACACCTACACTGGAAATCATTAATCATATTATTCACTTGGCTGGTAGACAAATCTTCTTGGCTTAATAAATAGCTGGCCTCTTGTTAGTGGAGAAAACTACTTATGAATTTACCTCCAAGTACCATAGTTAGTTTCACCTGTTGTTTCAACTGTTGAGACACCTTCCTCTTTCAGGGTCATCTGAGGTAGACTGAACAATGATCAGGGACAAAAGTGGTACCCATTAGCCCTTTCATGAGTTTGACCTGTATAGAGCAAGTGATAATTTCTTCAGGATAGTTATTATCACACAGGCTAGTTTCAATACTTCTAGCATGACGTTAGCTAATTAGTCTAAATGTGTATAGGATACAGATTCATGATGTGAATTCAGAAACTGATATAAATTGATAAACTTTTCAAAAATAGCAAATTAAGAGGGGCATTTATTTATGAACAGGAGTTCAGGAAATATAAAATGAATTGGGAAGATTGATAATGTGATTGAGTAGAAATGATTGCATATTGTAAATTGCACACTTAATATGAATAGGTATAAAATATTGCACTGCAGGAGTAAATGGAGGAATGTGTATAGTCTAGAAATGATACTGAAATATCAAAAGATTAATCTGTGCTGATTGCTGTCATCAGGTTTATGAAAACTTGCTGAAAACTCCAATGGATAGTTTCCTTTTATTATCTTTCAGATTAGAAAATTATTCCTAGGGACTCTGTTCTCTCCGTGTTATCTAACTCAACTGGTGCAAGTATTTGGGAAACTGATGCAAAAGAACTGGGGTTGGGGAGGGTACACAATTTATCATGCAACTTGGAGGCGGGTTTGACAGCAAGGGGAGGCTGACAACCCAAACTGTTTCTATTTCTTTGGCAGCTTCAGATAGGTAATAGCAAACATGCCTGGCAATAGCAGGATGTCAACTATGATCCTCAAAGACGTTAACAGGGATTGGAATTTCCAATTATTCGAAAAGCAGACAGGACTACTGCAGTCTTCATATATTAACAGCTCACAGGGATTGAGTGCACAAGGGGGGCTCAGAGTAGCTTGACATTATGTGCAATTTGACCTTCCCTTGCTGAAAATGAAGAATCTCTGGTCAGTCATAGGATACAGGCCTGTTCTGCAGCAGTCTTTCATGAAGTGCTCAACTTGAAAGCCTACCAGTGTGCTCATCCTCATCTCCGTCTCCTTGCATTGCTCCCAAATGTGCTGATTTTTTAAAAAAATTCATTAACGGGATGAGGGCGTTGCTGGCTAGGTAGCATTTATTGCCCGTCCCTAATTGCCCAGAGCGCGGTTAAGAGTCAGCCACATTGCTGTGGATCTGGAGTCACATGTAGGCCAGACCAGGTAAGGATGGCAGTTTTCCTTCCCTAAAGGACATTAGATGTACTGTGGATGTACTCACACTGATGGCTACTGGCTGCCCTCACATTGTGGGTGCTGCTAATGCACTGCTTCTACAGAAATGGCAATCCCAGAGATGGTTCTTACTTGTTGGGCTCCCATCAGGGTGACCATAATCTCCCAAACCTTCTTAGATATGGGGTAATGACAGAGGACTGGAGAACTGCAAATGTTAGAACTTTGTTCAGAAGAGGTTGTAAGGATAAACCCAGTAACTACAGGTCTGTCAGTTTAGCTTGTAAGTTCAAAAGCCTTTGGAATCAACAATTCAAGACAAAATTAATAGGAATTTAGACAGATATAGATTAATTAAGACAGCCGGCTTGAAGTTGTTAAAGGCAAATTGTGCTGAATTTGCTTCAGTTTTTGATGAGGTAACAGAGTGTGTTGTTGGGAATAAAGCAGTTAATGTGTACATGAACTGCCAAGAGATATTTGCTAAAGTACCAAGTCACGTGCTGGTTAGCATTGTTGAAGCCCATGAATTATAGCAAACTGGATACAAAATTGGCTGAGCATTAGAAAACAGAGAGCAGTAGGGAAGTTGTTTTTCAGTTTGAAGGAAGGATTGTAGTGGGATTTCCCATCCATATTATATTTTCTCATGTACGATTGAGGGTCGGTTGACCAAGAAATAATTTCAGCATTTGCAGAGAACAAAACACTTGGAGGTATTTTGAACTGTGACAAGGATAGTAATAAAACACATAGACAAACAGATGGAAAGGACAAACAATTCGAGGATGAAACTTAAAGCAGAAAAATATGAAGTTATTCATTTTCAAAGACAAAAACAGAAGTTCCTGGAAAAGCTCAGCAGGTTTGGCAGCATTTGTGAAGAGAAATCCAAGTTAATATTTCAGATCCAGTGCCCCTTCTTCAGAACTGATGGTAGCTAGGAAAATGTCAGTTTTTTTTAATGCAAAAGATAGGGTGGGGGGAGGGAGTAAGGAGTAAATGATAGGTGGGGATAGAGCCCAAAGAGAGAGAAGAACAGTTGGACAAAGGAGGGGATAACGATCTAGCCGGGAGGGTGAATAGCTGTTAATTGGGACTGTTAGTGACTAACGATAGGTAGCGTATAATGGCAGGCTATGTGATAACAAGGCCTGGCGTGTGGAGTAGGGGCCTGGGACATGGGAGAGTTTAGGCCCTAAAATTATTGAACTCAATATCGAGTCCGAAGGGCTGCAGTGTCCCCAAACGGAAAATGAGCTGTTATTTTTCCAGCTTGAGCTGAGTGTCACTGGAACACTGCAGCAAGCCTAAGACAGAGATGTTGGCCAGGAAACAGGTGTGTTAAAGTGGCAGGCAACTGGTAGCTCAGGGTCTTTTCCGCAGGCAGAACACTCAGTCTATGCTTTGTTTCCCCAATGTAGAGGGGACTACATTGTGAGCAGCAAATGCAGTAGACTAGATTCTGGGAAGTGCAGGTGAAGTGCTGCTTCACCTGGAAGGTATGTTTTGGCCATTGGATACTGGGGAGGGGGGAGGTAAATGGGCAGGTGTTACACCTTCGGCGGTTGCAGGGGTAGGTGCCATGGAGCTGTAGGAGGGTGATGGGGATTAAGGAAGAGTGGACCAGGGTGTCCCGGAAGGAATGGTCCCTGCAGAAGGTGAACAATGGAGGGGAGGGGAATATGTATCTAGTTGTGGCATCTCGCTGGAGGTGGCAAAAATGGCAGCTGATGATCTTCTAGATGTGGATGCTGGTGGGATGGTAGGTAAAGACAACGGGAACCCTATCACTTCTGTGGGAGGGAAGAGAGGGAATAAGATGGGTTGAATCCGGTTGAGAGCCTTGTTGACAACAGTGCTGAGGAGTCGTCAGTTGAGGAAGAACGTAAACATTTCGGAGACTCCCCTGTTGAAGTTGGCCTCATCAGAACATGTACTCAGGTTTTGAAAAATGTGATGCATTTTGTTAGGATGGATAAGTGGAAGTAATTTAAATATATGGTTTGATTCTAAATTAGGCCAGAAGTTGAGGGGCCTGGGGGTTATTTGTACACAAATCTTTGAAACTGCCAGGGCAGATTGAAAAATGGATTCTGGGCTCTGTAACCAGAGAACAAAATCAAGGAAGTTATAATGAAACTTTGTAAAATTGAAATATTGTGTCCTGTTTTGACCACCGCACTTTAGAAAAGATATGAAAAGCAGAGAAGGTTCACAACATTGGTGTCAGAGATGAGGATCTTCAATTGTATGGATGGACTGGAGAAGCTTAGGCTGTGCTCCATGGAGAAGAAAGATTAAGAGGAGATTTGATGCATATGTTAAAAATTGGGAGGAGTGTTAAAGACAGGGTAGAGTTAATCTGCTGCTGTTGGTCGAAGCATAGAGACCCAGACGATGCTAACTTAGGGTGACTGACAAAACAAACAACAGGAACCTGAGGAAAATTTTATTAAACATGAGTGGTGAGGATTTGGAATGCATTAGCTGAAAGTATGGCAGAGGAAGAGTTCATGCAAGATATTCAAAAGGGAATTCGATAATTGAAAAGAGAAAAAGATTACAGAACTGTGGGAGAAAGACATGGGAGTAGGATTAGGACAATTTCCCTCACAGAGAGCTGGCACTGATATGATGGGCAGAATGGCATCCTTCTCTGTTGTAATGATTCAATGACAAGGTTGGCTGATATCCTGCTGCTTCTGAAACAGTTGGTAGGAACCCAAAGATGGTCCTGCTACACAAAGTCCTTTGAAGAGTCTAGAGTCCTGTGCATTTGTTTCTCAATACTCCTGATATTCTGGGCATTAATTCTCAATTTTATTCATTTCCAATTTGATGGAAAGATTCTGTGTTTCAAACAAGGTCTTCTAGCTTTCACAATCAATTATTCTGATATTTCCTTTGGAGAAACATATGCAGAAAATTAATGCTTCCCAATTTATTTTCTTCTTAGCTTTCTTTTCAGGACTCCTGTGGGGAATAGCAAACAGTGCTTGGTTTCTGGCAAACTATTTCCTTGGTGCAGTTATCACTTTTCCTCTTGTTACTGCTGTGAGTATTGCTTACATTTGTAACTGTATCAAAGATAATAGAAAGTAACATGGAAAAATCTGAATTATTGTTAAAGCTGAATTGAAAAGGCATTGGGAATCATTTGTTATCTGTGCAATTCTATTGACACTAAAATCACAAGCAGAACACACACTTTATTCTCTTATCAATGTTGGATATATAGACATAATTGCTGTCAACACCATTGTATTCCAAAGGGACACAGCGAATTAGTTATAATTCATCCTCAGGACACTGATATCGTTGGCAAGCTGTTCTGAGCACGTAGTGGGGGTTTCCTTCCTGAACTGCTTCAATCCTTTGTTGTGATATTATACAGCCAACTGGCTAGTTAGGAAACTTCAGAGAGAGGGAGGTTTCCTTCCCTAAAGAACATTAGTGAACCAATTCAGTTTGAACAACTACACAATAGCTCATGAAAGACAAAATAGACATACATTTATATAGTATTTTCCATGACCTCAGGATGTCCCAAAGCCCTTTACAACAAATTAAGTACAACTGAGTACAGTTGGTGTCGTAATATATGAAACTGCAACTCACTTATACACAGCAAATTGTCACAAACAGTAATTTTGAATTGGATTCTCCAATTGTCCCAATGTGATTTGAAGTCATAATTTTAGGATTATATGTCCAAGTCTCTGAATTGTCCAGGTATATAACCACAGCACAAATGTACCCACTGACATCTATTATTTATTCATCCATAGATAGTAGGAACTGCAGATGCTGGAGAATCCGAGATAACAAGGTGTA